AAAAAAAAAAAAAAAAAATGACAACAGCCAACCCAACAGCCATCTGGTGTGAGTGAATCAAAACTATATTTTTTGGTGTGCTGCAGAATTTCAATGTGTGCCATGAGATGAGAAAGGTCGAAAATCGCTGCTCGAGTGCATAAATCCCACCGACACCCGGTATACCTAAGGGAGCCCGTATGCCTGGGGCAGCCTGTATACCGGGACAGCCTGGACCCACCGGCTAAAAGCTCCAAACCCTTTCATTTGGAATCAACCTCATATGTGATGGCAGCAGGCGCCTCTGGGAAAACTGCTCGGCAGAGCATGAAGAATTAGGGTTCAGAGCCCCACTGGGCCTGGCACACAGGGGCCTAGGAGATATACACCTGCACACACCTGTACACGTCGTGCTTGGTGTCAAAGAGCCGGCTCTTCTCTCGGATGCGCTCTGGAGGGAGGTAGGCAATGGTGCCGAAAAGGCCGTCCATGCTGAGGTCGTGGGAGTGGGACAGCCCGTTGCACTTGGCCAGCCCAAAGTCGGAGATCTGTAAGAGAGCAGACGGGGCGGGGGGGCGCTCAGCGAGCTTCGCAGCGTGGTGCTGAGCACGCACTGGGGCTGCCACCCCGAGGCCCGGTCAACCCCCTCCCTGCAACATCTGACGGTGCGGGCCCTGACACCCCTGTAAGGGCACATTCAGGAGTCACCGAGGCCATGGCCTGTGCTCGCCTACCTGCCCCAGGGCGCGTGAGCACAGTGGCTTAGAAAGAACCAGGGCTACAGCCATAGAGCTTGACGGATAGAGACGGTGAAGCTTTGAGGAAGGAATTCACTGGGGGCGAGAAGCCAGAAGGACCATCCCCCGCCTCGGCTGGCAGCACGTCTGTGGTCCAAGGGCCACATCGGCAAAAGGGGAAAAGGCAACGCTTCGAGTTCCAGGGTTCTCAGATGACATGTGAGAGCGAGGCTGGCTGGCCTGGCGCTAAGGCAATCAATCCAGTTATGCAACCGTGCCAGCTGGGCAGGCGGGCAAGTGGCAGCACATCCTTTAAAGGGAGCTGCACCTTCAGAAGCCCTTCGGAACGAGCAAAACACACCACGCAGCCGCAGTGCTGCCGGAAACGTCCTGTGGCCAGCAGACGCTTGCTGGCTCCTCTGCCACACACACGGCACCAAGTGAAGGGCTGGTCCACACCTCCCGTCCCTGTCCCCATCCCCAGGGCCTGCCGACCTGGGGGCACACCTGGGCCCCAGCCACCCGGGCCCCACACCTCCACTGCCTGGTCTCCTTCAGGCAAAGGTGTCCTCACAGCCCACAGACACACACAATGGGGGAAATGAAGCCACACAGACTCACGGGGGTCCCAGCTCATCCCGGGTGGGGGACGAGATCAGGGGCACTGGCATCAAGGGGCTCAGAATCCATGCGGAAACAGCCCCTTTACATTCTCTGAGGCTCGTGGATTCCAGTCAACTCCAGGCTCCTCCTCAAACAAAGCTATGGAGAGACAGGACCTGGGGCTGAGCCAGGGCTTCATTCTGGGCTCACTGTGCCAGCTCACAGGTGAGCCAATGGCCTGGCATCACCATCACCGCTGAAGAAGTTCTGGCTGGTGACTGGACCTTTCAGGGGACCTCTGACCACATCTACGGGAGGTGATGGGAAGAAAGCCTTCAAGACTAGACCCGGTCCTCCGTTTCTGTGGCCAGGCCATGTCAGGTCAGGTGTGGGTCCACAAAGAAAGCCAGCTTGGGCATTTCTGGGCCCCTATCAGCTAGCTATATGCTCCCCAGCCTTCAAGAAACTCCCCACTCTGGAAAGGAAAGTGCCAGCCTGCAGAATGAACCCATCACCCGACCCTGCAGATCTGAAAAGCAGCTCATGGGCAGCCTTTTCCTTCCATTTCTGCCATTTTTAGACACAGGCAGCCGCTTCAAAATGTACTTGGTGAAAGAAAATTAGCATAAATTCTATGTAAAAAGCTCTGACATCAAAATGCAAACTCAGAAATCAGAATTCTCTGATGGCCACCGACCCTGACCTTCCCTCCACCTGCAGATTTCTCCTCCTGCCCTTTCCCCTCTGCCCTGATTCCTCGACAGTGGGACCTGGGGCCACCCTGTGAACAGCAAACACCCACCCAGCTGGACCAGACCAAGGAAGGGCATGGTCAGGGCCGTGCTGCCTCAGAGAGAAAGGCCACTGTAGACCAAGGAGACCAGGACCCTCAGACTCTCCCGGCATCTAGTCCTATCTGGGCAAACTGGGCCAGAAGTGAGTCTGAGATTTTAAAGTAAGTTATTTCATCTTCAGCTTGAAAAGGGTCTACTACCAATACATTAAAATGAGCATTTTAATATTATTCAGTATATTTACTATTACTATCAAGTATTAATTTAATATTGTCTTTAATACACTTTGTTAAGTAGGAGGCTGCTGTGAAATTCCCTGTCCGCGTCTTCCTGTCTGTGGACAGAAGGTTGTCTTGAGGGCCCAAGGGAAGGGGGCAGGCTGACACCTTATTTTATTCCAAGTCTAGAATAAAGGTTTATTGCTTCAAATAACCGCCACCTGAAAAGTGCCCAACCGGCCGATCAATCAATGACTTAGAACCTCAGACAAGGCTCCACTGCCCCACCCCATAAACAATTTCTGAGAATGAAAGACATGCATTATGTAAAAGTACATCTTCTGTTTGTTTGGGGCTGTGTGAGGTGACTAACTCGCCTGATTAAGCGGGAGTCACAGAAAAGCTGCCCGGGGTGCCCTGGGCCTGGAAGCAGCAGCGTCACCTCGCTTCCTGCCATGGAGGCCGGTCCATGCAGGGTCTACCCCGCTCCCTGCTCAGCCATCCTGGGATCCTCACTGAGGCCCCGCTCGGCTCTCTAAGGGATCTTTACCCATCTGTTAAACTGGCTCACACATGGCGCCAGGTGCTTACAAGGTGGGAGAGGGAAGTTCACACGGAGGCCCCTCCAGGCCAGTGCAGAAATGACCTACAGGATAGCCAGGCCGCGGTGTCGGACAGTCAGAGGGCAGCACTCGGCTCCTTACTGAGCAAGGATTACCCAGCAAGGAGACCCTCCCCAGATAAATGTCAACATCCCAGACATGGAAAGATGACTATTTACTGGCCACAAAAATACCAACACCAACACCAGCCCTCACGGAGCACTTCCATGGGTGAGGCATTTTATTGTCATTGACCCCTCATGACAACAGAGGGGTTACCCCCACCCGCCAGGTGACAACGCCGGGGGAGGAGGGCTGTGCTCCTAAGGAGGACACTCAGAAGGAAGATGTCACTGTAGACCTCTAGGGATGCCCACATGCCCCCCCCCATTCCACATGCCCTGTTAGGAGAGTGGAAAGGAAAGGGGTTGACATAAAAGCCCAGCCAGCCAATTAGGGTGACTCTGGAGACACCTCAAAGGCACCTGGCTGCAGACACACCTGTCCGAGCACCTGGTGCCCATCCACCAGCAGTCTAAGGAAAGCAGGTTCCCAGCAGCCTTCGATTACGACAGCGCTCAACAATCCTTAACGCCAGGCGGGGAAAGGCCTTCCCTACCCTCCACCCTACTCCAACTGCTCCTCCTGCTCCCCCCACCCCAAAGCCCAGGACTTCCTGAGTTTTCTTGGGCTGATTCCTCCATGTAAAGGCTCTTCTGCCTGCACCCCACTCCTGACAGCAGGAAAGCCTGATGCTCTGTGGAGACCCAGTCCCACCTAGTAACACCCCCGCCCCAAGCTGGGTGACTCTGGCCCAAGATTTAACCCCTTGAGCCTCAGCCCAGCAGGAGCTGGAGGCCATTGTCCACTTGGTGCCCCACTTTGACGACCGGGGCAGCTCCTGCAGGCAGGGCCTCTGGCACACGGCAGGGACCTGTCACTACCTTCCTTTCCCTGTATATCAGGCGTGGGGAACCTTTTTTCTGCCAAGAGCCATTTGGATATTTATACCATTAGCAGGTCATACAAAATTATCAACTTAAAAATTAGCCTGCTGTATTGGGTCAAACATTTAATTGAATTTATTGAATTTCGAGTCCCACCTGCGGATGCCTTGGCAGGGTCAGGCCAAATGATTTCCTGGGCCGCACATTCCCCACCCCTGCTGTATATAGTCAAGTTTCTGAGCGGAGGTTTCACTCTGCACTGGCCCAGTCGTGCAGACTCCACGGGACTGCACACTCTAGTGAGAACTGTCACGTCCGTGGTGGGTGGGCAGTGCCACCGACCACAAGGAGAAGGGACAGGACACCACTTCCATCCTCAGCTAACATCTTGCTACTGAGCGACACCTACTTAAGGGACGAGTTGTAATTACTGTGCAAAGTGAAAACAGCAATTCCCCAGGGCCTCAGGCTGGCTCAGGCAGGAGAGGTGCCCGCTGCGAAGACTGGGCACAGGGAGCAGCCGTGTGCGGGCCACCCAGTGCCACTGACCTGTCACCAGTGAGAAAACCGAGGCCCAGAGGGAGCCAGGGTCAGGGTGGACTGAAGTAGGGTTCCTCCTCCTCTGGCCAACAGGGAGGGGTCCTGCGAGTGCAGCAGAACAGGCAAGAGCCAGAGCACACAGGTGAGTCCCTTCCCCTGTCCCCAAAGTGAGCCAGCAGGGACTCAGGCCATTGCTCGTGGATTGGATCCTTCTCACTCAAGCACAGGACCAAGGGAAAGGGCCTCCGAGCACGTGAGCATCACCACATGGGGAACACCACGGCGTGTGCCCCCGACGGCGTGGGCCACAGAAAGCCCAGCGCCCAAGGCCTGCCGGAGAGGTGTTCGCAGACACACAAACACGACAGCGTTCCCATCAATTCCAGGTGGCGGCGCCTGGTGCTTAGTTCTCTTATTCTTCGTACTTTTCTGTTTTATAAACTGATCAGAAACAGAATTGGAAAGAGCAGCCCTCACAGGCCTCAAGTCACTGGAACAGAATGAGCCCCATCAGAGCCCCCTGCACGACTGCAGCCTCCATCCCGGGGCAGCCCACGTCCCCACCTCCCCAGCCTGCAGCCACCGAGGGGGACAGCCCGAAACCACGGTCTCCACGGTCTCCCACAGAGATGGCCGACCCCCGCCTGAGCTCTCACCCAGTCTCCTAGGACACCCACTACGACCAGGACCCGCAAATCCACAATCTTTTCCCAGGGTGCGCAGAATTTAGCACCAGGTTGCAGATGTGGGAGCGCGACCCATGTTCAGACTCCATTTTCCAGCCGCACGTTTTGGTGTTCACACCAACCATGACAAGACAGGGGACTCCAGACACGGTCGTGCTGAGACGCCTCCCTGCTCAAGCTCTTTTCCAAGAGAACCGCACCTTCCGCCCTCGCACCCGCAGCCCCGGGCCCTTCGGGCGGCCCGCTCGGAGGCCCCACCTTGACGTGGTAGTGGGCGTCCAGCAGGATGTTGGCGGGCTTGAGGTCCAGGTGCAGCAGCGGCGGGGACATGCAGTGCAGGAAGTTCATGCCCACGGCCGTCTCGTGCACGATGCGGAAGCGCAGGTCCCACGGCAGCGGCTCGGAGGCCAGCAGCTTCTCCAGGGAGCCCGTCTCCATGAACTCCATGACCAGGCCGACGGGGTCTTGGCAAATGCCGTACACGGGCAGGATGTAGCGGAACTTGGCCATCTCCATCTTCTTGGCCTCTTCCAAAAGCTCCATGCGCTCCCTGAAAAAGGTCACGGACACGAGGAACACGCATCAGTCACCTGGCCACTGACACAAAGCGCCGCAGCCAAGAGACAGGCAGGTCTACGGAGCTGAGAAAACGACTAAAACAAACACACGTGTGTACAGGTGCCCGTGCATGTGTGCGCACACACGTGGAGCTCACTTTAATGTCGCGTAAATTCTGGGCTGTCCAAAGCCTTCAGTCCCACAGCTATTCAAACACATCTAATTATGTGAAAATCCGCAGGCAGCACGGAGCCTGAGTGAGAAGGCGGATGCTGAGAATCCCTTCTGCTGGGGGAGGGAAGAGTTTAGGTTCTGCCAAAAGTTGTAACAAATTATCCATATTAAGAACCGAATTCTCCTCTGTTAAGGTCAACACTTTAGCTGCCCAGTTATTCCTGATTCCAACCCCACGCTTAAATTAATGGCGCATTCGCCTAACGCAGGGGCTGCAGAATGCTGGCCCAGAACCACTTTTTATAAACCATAGTTTTTAGTAACATATACGTAACATGCTATGTATCATTTTAACCATGTGCACAATTCAAAGGCATTACAGACAGTAACAACTGTACAACTATCATCGCTATCTACACACAGAACTTTTTCATTACCCCAGAGGAACTCTGTACCCATTCAGCAACACTTCCTTCCTGCCTCTATGAGTCCACTACTAGGGACCTCACAGAAGTGGACTCATACAGTATTTGTCTCAGTACCTGGCCTGCTTCACTAATCATATTGCTTTAACTGAGGACCATCGGTGCTGTGGCACATACCAAAACTCCACTCTTCACAGCTACATAATATTCCATCCCAGGACCACACCACATCGTGTTTGTCGACTCACCTGTTGATGAACACGTGGGTTGTTTCCACCTTTTGTCTACTGTGACTAATGCCGCCAGGAATGTGTGGTGTGCAAGTCTCTGTTTGAGTGCCTGCTTTCATTTTGGATATACATCTAAGAGTGAATTGTTGGGTCATGTGATAGTTCTATGTTTAGCCTTTTGAGAATCTGCCAAACCACTGTCCACAGCCTGCCTGTCTTTTGTAAAGAAACTCTGACTGGAAGACAGTCTCACCATTCATGTCCACACAGCCTGTGGCTGCATTCGCACTCAAGGCAGAGATAAGTAGTTGCAACATAGACCCTACGGCCTACACAGCCTGAAATATTTACTCTCTAGCCCTTCAAGAAAGTGTGCAACCCCTGGTCTAGGGTCACTTCCTGGGGCAGCCCGTGGCTTTACAGACTAGATCCCAGTGCCTTGGTCGGTGTCAGCATTTTAGGTCAAAGTCTCAGAATGCATTCAGGAAAAAAGGCCGAATCCTATGAGGACAGGGCTTGACCATGAGCGATATAGGTTGGCGGTTCCCGGGGCACAGAACAAAGCACCCGGGAAGCTGGCTGAAATGCAGGTTCCCAGGCCCTGCTCCTGGAGAATGGGTTCTGGGTGAGTGCTGAGGAGCCTGCTTTCCCATAAGCTCCTAAGGAAAAGGCCCAGAACCACAAGCCCTGACACGCCACATGGAGTTGTGAACTGAGCAGCTTGGCGCCTGCCGAGGGACACACAGGCGGCAGGCTAGGGCGGCCTCAGGGACCCCCCAGAATGCAGACTCCAGTGCAAGCAGCCCTGCCCATAACCCAAAACACGCTGATTCCCACCACCGGGTCCTCTGGAGCTTGGCTGCACCTGCCCGCGCCCCTGCGGCCGCGCCCCCTCCCCAGACTCCCATGGAGCCCTGCCGGAGACCCAACACCGTGCCAGCCAAACGAGCTCGTTTCTCACTGATGTGCATCCCTGAGCCCACAGCTCGCTCCCAGGCGCCCCTGACAGTTATGAAAACACTGCCCAGGGAGGAGGCGGCCGGCAAGGCGGGGCCGGGATTACACTGTTTACCGAAGGCCGCAGCACCCAAGCTCAGCCTGCACTCAGCTGTCGCGAGGGACACTCCCACCAGGCCCCAGGGGCTCGCCAGGAGCTCAGCCTCTGCCCGCCGCCTGTCCAGCCCGCCGGGAGACGAGCCCCACACGAGCACACGTGAGCGCACACCCAGGGGCTGCATGGTAGGGGGTCCGGGGAAGGACTCCTATGTACAGACCACTGATCCTCACCTAGGGGCGACTTCGTCCCCAGGGGATATTGGGCACTGTCTGGAAACATCTGGTTGTCACAAATGGGGGCTGCCGCTGGCACACAGTGAGTGGAGGCCAGGGATGCAGCTAGACACCCTACAATGTACAGGATGGTCCCCAAGGCACAAATGGCAAGAGCGCCAAGTCTGAGAATGCCTGGTACTGACCAAGTCTGCATTTTCCGCCAAATTTAAAATAAACCACTCATCTAGAATCACCCACTTCAACACTCCCACATCTACTTGAGTTTTAATCCATACCTAATTAAAGTTCACTTACCAACAATTACTGAGCACTCTCTACACAGGGTGTCCCAGAAAAACGTATACACGCACTTTGAATAATTATAAAGGCAGTGTTTGTTAAAACACATTTCATTTTCATTTAACAGCTATCAGCTGCTACAGTGTGTACACATTTGGGGGCGGACACCCTATATATCAGAATTGATGATAAAGAGAAACCTCCCACGCCTCCACCAGGCTCGCCTTCCAGGGGAGAGGATGGAAAACTGCACCAGATCAAGGAGTGTAGTTGAAAGCCTGAGTACCGTGAAGGGGGGTACAGGGACCCAGGGGAGACTGCCCGAGGGGCCCTCACCAGCCTGGGGAAAAGCAGCGAGGGCTCAGGAGCAGCTCACAGAGGCCGAGACCTGCACGGGAGCCCCGGGCTGGGAAGAATCCCGGACTCGGTGCCTGACTGGATGTGGGGGAGAGAGGTGGCAAGGGCCACCCTATCTCCTGGGGGTTCCCCATTTATGGAGTAGGGTCGGGTGGAGTGGTCAAGAGTTTGGTTTTTAACAGGCTCAGGAGCAAAGAATCCCGCTGGCCTTAGAAACAAGTGAAACGTGGATCATGAGGGAATCACGGCATCGCTACAGGACAGAACTGAGCTCAGCTGACTTGCTTTCTTGGCCAATTAATGGAAAGGAAGAGGGCCCCGCCTGCCTGTGGGGTCCCTGGGCAGGGCTGAGGGCTGCTCCCCCCCTCCAGCGGGACTTCTGAAGGTTCCCTGCCTGGCCCAGGCTGGCCAACCTCTCAGTGAAGCCTCAGCACTGAGCCAGGCTTGGGGATGAAGCAGACACCGACCCCCAACCCTGTGCGATGAACATCTGAAAGAGTTTAGGGCTGGTGCAGAGGTCAAGCAGGAAGGTCATTTAAAGTGAAGCAGGGACACTTAAGAAGGAGAGAGAAAATGACACCCCTGGGCCAGCTCCTTTCTTCTCCCAGGGCGGCCTGGTTTGTTATCTACACAATACTAGCACCACCACCACTAACAACACTCTCAGCTGGGCGGCTGGGGCTCAGCACCAGCTGCCACTCCTTTGCCTCGGCTGTTGAGAATCAGTATGGGACCTGCCTGCCCCTATTTACTGGGTGTGCCCTTCCTGGGGCACTGCGCCCACAGGTGCCGGCACTTGTCCTGCTGCAGGATAGGAGACCCACTTTCAGCGTGGGCTTTTGGGGTCTCCCAGGCTGGCCACGAAGAGGACGGTTTCCACTTTAAGCTCCACGCCAAACCTTCTCCGCAGGCTGAATGAATATCTTATGAAGAAAAGCCCTGACCACTCTGCAAATAAAGTTTTCTTCCATTCGCCCAAAGGGCTTGAAACAAAAACTCAGGTGACTTCTGCTCACTGAGTTCATTAGCACAGCTCTCCTCCCCTCCCACCTGGAGTTCAGCCGGTTCGCTGCTCTCGCCCAGCCCCGGGCCCTTCCACCAAAGTGAGACCCCATTTACTTTATTTTCAATATAATGAAAAGAGCCACTGCCCCCAGTTTGTTCCAGAAAGCTGATCAGAGCTAGAACATTCTAAGAGGGCCGGTACTCTCTTTGGAATCAATGAACAAATGACACAGGACACTTCATCAAGGAAAACCAGCTCTCCTGGAAAATAAGTCATTGTTTCCAGGCACAGATCGCCTTCTTCATGGCAGCTCTGTAAGAAACACCTGACCTGCTGTAGCCACAGGTCCTTGGGGTGAGGAAGGGGGTCCCCGGACCACCCAGCAGCAGGTTCAAGGGGACTCAGAGGCCACCACCTTGCACAGGCCTGGGAGTGGGGCTGGCCAGGGCCCCCTAAAGAGTTGGCACAAAAAACAGTTCATCCTGTTTATATTTCAGTAACTACCAAACCCAAGCCCAAAGGACCCCCATACTCTCAGCCATTCTTCAGTTGCTCCTGGGGTACCCTGCTGGGGACACAGCCCCTCACCCCTGCTGGGAAGCCCCAAGGGCCACCACCAGCTTAGGGAAACTGCAGCCCTTCCCGGATCGGATGTCTAGGCTGCATTTGCAATTCAATAAGCCTGAACCGGGCCCTCTCCGGGGCCATTGGAAGACAGAAAAGTGACCCTTGAACGGAAAGAAATGGCCAATTGTTTTCTGTCCGTGGCAATTATTTTTTTAAAACACTTTTCCTCAAAGCAGTGTTTCTGGTTCATGTTGACATCACAAAAGGAACTGTAGCTCTATTACTATGACTAGTATTATTATTATTTACTATTATTATTTTAGGACCCAGAGAAATTTTCAAAGCAGTCCCAGAGCCCCAGTGCTGGGCAGGGGGGCAAGGGGTGCCTCAACCTTCATGGCGCCAAGCCTTGGTCACGGTCACACCATCACCAAATCCCATTTGTCACTGTTGGGAGTCAAGTTCCGCGCCACCCGAATCTACTGACATCCGTCTTAATTAGAACACCCTAAAAACTGCGGGGCTAACCGCGTAGCTGCAATTAGGCACAATTCAGTAGGGCTGGCTTCACACTTCTCTTCCTCAATCATTTCAAAACATCTCCTCCTTCGCCGTTTGGGGAAGCATTACAACTTCCATTTCCCAGCAGGAATGGAGAGAGGGCCCCACTCCCAGGACCGCCCCCCAGGACCCCTCACCTTGGTCCTGGATGGAAAATCTCTGGGTAGTCATAGGACCAAGTTGAGCCTCAATTCGTTTGAGATCCTTTCTCAACAGCACTTATATTAACTATTTTTCTCATTCAGGGCCGGTGGAAGCATAGCCCCGCCCCACCAATCCCGAGGAGGGCACTGGGGTGGGGAGAAAAAGCAGTAATATCAGGGGGCTCATGTCCAAGACACTGGCTGGAGAAGCCCCCAGCGCGGCTCAGTCAGGAACTCCGAAGACCAAAGAGGCTTCGACGGCTCCCTCCCTTTCTGGAAGCATTTACTCTGGAAAAGGGGACAGGCGGCCCTGGGCCCTACGCAGGCGGGACAGTGGCAGACGCTCTGGGAAGAGGGGCCGGGGTGGGGTGAAAGGTGCTTCAGTAGCAAAGGCCTCCTCAGAGGGGGAGACCTGGAAGCACGCTTGGGAAAAGGCAGCAGGAAAACGGTGTAATCGTTCCTTCGCTGATGCTCCCAGCCTGGCCTTCTCGCCTCGCACCAACCCAATTACGTTCCCAGGGAGCCTGCCAGGGTTCCCACACTGCTATTTTTAAAACTGACAAGAAATGGGCTTGTCGGATTGTCAGCCCTGTACTTACAGACCCGGGGGTTGCTCAGGCTCGTCCCGACGAGCTGGTGCCCATGGAGCATTAGCTGCTGGGCCAGTGCCCAGCCAGGCGCTCAGTTACTCAGGGCTTCCTCTTAGCCTGAGGGCTGGGGTTGGAGGAGGGGGGCCCCTGGAGTCACCAGTTCTGGCCTAATGGTAACACCCCTATCCCCAGACTCCACCCAGGGCCCCAGGCCCCCTAAAGACGTCAGCCATACAGAGCAAGACAACTAGATCAAAGGTGAGCAAACTGAGGGGGCCAGAGGGGGGGTCTGGGGCCGGGCAGCCCTCACCTTCCCGTAACGAAGTTCAGGCCCACAGGGCCTAGGGCAGCCTGCTGCTCTGAGGAGCCCACTGCGGCTGGGGACAGCCCTGCTGCGGCCAAGGGCAGTGGCAGGGCCAGGAGACCCCAGCCTGCCTGGCGGCACAAGCAGTCAATGAAAATCACCCTGGCCCACACCTGTCCCTGTGGCGGGTCCCAATGTTACAAGCGGAGGGGACAAAAGTGACTCCAACGGCCCTGGGAAAGAAAAGGCCCAGTGTTGGGTAAGGTCATCAAGGCCAGGGTCCATGCCTGACTCCAGTAAGGGCCCTACACAAACCGTTCCGACTTGGCGGGCAGGTGCAGAAAACTACTTGTCTTGAGGTCACCCACGACAAGCTGTACGTTCCCTTGTTTATCAAGCCTGTCCCTTCCCCATCTGGAGTGACTGCCTTTTCCTCCGGTCTCTCCCTGCCCTCCCTGTTTGGGGGCCTGTTTCAGATTACAGCTGGGAAGCTCCTGAGGGGGCTGCAACCTAGCACCCAGGCTCCCATGGCAGGGGGTAGAGGTGCTGCCCTTCAAACAGGCGAGTAAAGACTTAGCCCCGAGGGGTACAAGGCTGGGGGGGGGGCTGCACCCAGGAACCCCAGAAAATCCTATTTCCCACTCCAGGGAACGGCTTGCAAAACAGTGGGGTGGGATGGGAGGCAGCTCATCAAAAGAGCAATGACGCCAACTTGCCAATCATAACGAAAACAATTTCAAGGTCGAGCTGCAACCCTGCAACACTGCACTGGCAGCCAGTGCCTCCCGCACTGCAGGGCGAGAGACACAAGTCCTATGAGCAGCTCAAGCTAAAGCCAGTCGACTTAGCCAGAGGCGCTTCCTTGGCCAAGAGCAGGGGTTTCACCATCTTCTCAACTGGAGGACTCAGCCTCTGCTGCAAAGGCAGAGCGTCAGCCTGCTGGGCAGAGTGCAGGAGCTGAATGGCTTCCTGTTGGGTGATGCTGACCTCGACCTAGCCACCCCGTGTGCATGTCACCACCTGCCTGGTTAGGGCAGGGCAGGAAAGGCTTCCAGTTAAAGGACAAAACACTTTTCAACCAGGCTATGCAAGATCCTAAGTGACCTGCCTCAAGTGGAGAAACCCTACCTCCAGCTGGGCCACCCAAGAAACAAGGGCCAGTAGCTGGAAATAAAAGATTCTAGGATGAGGGCTGACTCATCGGCCTGGGGATGGGATTGTTTACTTTGCTCTTCCAATACAAGAAACGGGTGGGAAAGCCTTCTCTGATGAGTACCACGCTTCCACGACCAGAAGACGCCATCAGACAAATGTCCCCAAGAGCGTAAAAACACCCCGAGGGACAGGGTCTTGCCTTTGGGGATCTAACCACCGGCTGGTATTCAAAGTGGTTTGCATTTCATCAAAATAACCGCAGCGCCCCTCCCGGCCTGAGCAGTTCCCAGGACCTGGGGCGCAGTGAGGGGAAAAGAGCTTGCACACAGCCCCACAAGTCCCTCACCTTTCACTTAGATATTTTATGACACTTGTCACCACTCTACTGAAGCCACCAATCTACCGTATTATCCCCTAGGCCAGGATGTAAACACAAAGTCTGCGAGTGTGCCGGGCACCACCTCCCCAGGCTCATTCCTTACTACCTGCTGTGGAAGCACACACGGCAGTCTCTCTATGTCCCTTAGTCCTGGGGACACAGTCACCTCCGACATCACCACCGCTCTAAGGTGAAAAGAGGCCCCATCACTGGATAAGCAGAGGGTTAGATGCCAGGTCTCTGAGCCAGCAAAGGCTGGACAGGGGCGGGGGTGGGGGGGGTTTCCAAAAGGAGCTGCTTTTCTGAGTGTGCAAGCATCCGGGGCTCCCTGTATAAGGGGGATCTCCATACACAATACAGACACAACCTCCACAGACAACGCAAACTTCACCCGACGGTAAGTAATTTACTTAAATCAACTCATCTGAAGCGTGCATATAAATTATTAAAATGCAAACGCACACGGTGAAAAACAAAAGAGCTGCTTCTTAAGACCCTCCTCCCACCCCCACGCCCACTGCTACGCAGCCCATCGAACGTAACTGCACCCACGGAACGTAACTGCACCCTCCGAACGTAACTGGGGCGGCCGCTCGGCCAGGCCCAAGGGCCAACGCGCAAGTGCCCGGGCGCCGCGCAAGCCCGGCCCAGCCAAGCCGGTGCTTCCGACCGAAATAATTACCGTCTTACACCAATTTGTGCTACGACGTAAATTACTAAGTGAGTCAAACGGAGTCTAACTAACTCACAAAGCCCAGATCCCCACACGGCAATTTCGCTAAGCCGGGCGCAGACCGCAGCGCCCAGGTGGGTTCCGGGAGGGCCGGACGCGCTCCGAGGGGCGCGGGTCCCCGGGGCGCGGCGAGCTCGCGACCGTAGAATTCCGGGGCTTCGCGGGAAGCCAGGGAGCACCACTGGGCACTTTACAGCGTCTCGGGCAAATGCGGCCCCAGAGGTCGCTCCCAGGAGCCGCAGCTCGGGGGCCCGGGCGTGCGTACTCAGTCCCGGAGCTCCCCAAACCTGCCCACTTCGGCCAGGCAAGCCGCGCGGACACTGCCGGGGGCTTTACGGCCTCGCCCGGCACTTGGTTTCCCCTCCGAGGCTGCTCCGTAGGCGACGCGAGTGGAGGGAGGAGGACCCCAGAACCCAAGCGCCCCGACCTCGCCCTGCCCAGTCCCCCGTCCCCCGTCCCCGCGGCGCGGCGCCCCCGCCCGGGCTGCTGACCTGTCGTCGACGTGCAGGCTCGGGGAGCACTTGATGGCCAGCCAGGTCTTCCAGTGGACATGGCGCACCTTGTACACCTGCCCGAAGCCGCCCGAGCCCACCTTCTCCCAGCCCGCGAATTCGCCCGCGTCGAAGGTGCGCAGCAGCCCCAGGGCCCACGGGCTCTCGCCGTCGCCCTCCATCGCTCGCGTCTCGCCGCCACCCTGCGCCGCTCCAGCCTCA